TCACCACTTTGTTACTATCCCATTCATATTGTGTCCAGTCGCTCGTAAGTCCAGCATTCTGCTCTCTGAGCACTGTGACTATATCCGCAGTCGTATACCCTTTGTCAAGTCCTGTTAGGAGGAGCTGCGGGGTTAGCGATGTTCCCTGTACTCTTACCCTTCCCTCTCTCAATTGCTTTTTTGATTTTCTCTTTTTCAATTACATTCTCACTCTCTATTATCATGGCCCCACTCTTGAGTCTTCTCTCATATGTTACCCCCTCCATACTTCCCTCCTGTTGTAAGCATTGTCTCACCATTCTTGCTATATTCTTGTCTTCTGTACTCTTATCTTCTGCATTAGATTCCTGTTCTTGACTTTCCTCATTTAGTGTCACCACTATTTCTAGTGGTGGTGGTGGAGTTTTCCATCCTGGTCTTGTTTCCTCTGTGGCTTTTTGTCCTCGTTCTTGATTTCTATTCAGGTCTGCATACGTTTTATTGCTTGTTTTCTTCTTTCTGCGTCGTCTAGCTCTCCCTTCCCCAACTGTAGATCGCGCAGCGTCGGTTTCCATATCTGTGATGGTCGCTGCCTCATTCGTGTCGCTGGCTGCCTGATATGGTTGCTATTTCCGGTACCTTCTTTGTTGTGTCGACCAGTCTATTGCTCTTGTCACTTGCGTTCTGCCGTTTTGGAAGTATATCTATTCTACGCGTCAGTTCCATTATTTTCCACATTGCTGATGTTACCTCTGATCCCAGAGACCTGCTGCGGATATGGGTACGAACCGGCGCGACGCCTCCACGTGGCCGTCTCCCGGATTTTCAAGGTCCGAGGGGAAGATACGGAAACCGCTGCAACTGTGGTGCTCTTCGCGTTCCAAACCGTATCTTCCTGCTAGAGGATTTCATGGATCTCGAACTTTTATGCAGAAAACTCATCCCCGATCAATTTCATTTATCTCAGTAGGATATGCTTCACATATTACTTTTCTGAGAAATAGTTTGAAATGTACCTATTGCTTTCTATTTAATTTTTTGGGCTTTTTGACCATCAGAACAAGATTGCAATTTTCTTGAAATCTTCCTGAATGTTTTTGTATCGTTTCAAATATTTTAACAAAATAATGAAAAAGATTTGAAATTTATATCTGAATAAAATTATTCTTTTTCTGTTCGAATAAAGTTTCAAAGTTTTGACCTTTTCGTGACTTCTCTTAACGTTACATACTGAATCAGAGGTATTCTGCATTACATTCAACGAGTATTTGCAATACAAAATTGAGTAACAAAAAAATTTGTTTTTGTGAACATACGAGTATTTAAATGAATTTCAAAAATGCAATACTTTCGACGAACTTCAATGTTAAATCAATATGACTCGGGCTTAGATGAAAATTTGTATTCAGTTATTCATTTTTGAGTCGTAATCTACATTTTCATTCTTTGGAAGAAATTGAGAATGACTTTTTTTCAATTTAAGTTACATCAGAATATTGGAAACAATTTTTCCCTTATTAATATTCCAATGGGACTTTGATTCAAATTTTACTTTGCCAACTTTGCCAAATTTTGAAAACTTCTTTTAGATTTTTTCTCCAAGTTATCGATTGACGTCATATTCGAAACAAAAGGATTTCATCATTGAAATGTTAGTTTTAGTGATCTGAATAGTTTCAACAGTTTCTTTTTTTAATTTCTCATCCATCATAGGGAAGTATCTCGAAATTGGCTAATTTGGCAGAGTGAATTCATTAATTGCTTTTCAATTAATAAAAACAGTAGGTTTTTAGAAAGTTTCAATATTTTAACTTTTTTAATTCAAAGTAAATTCCCATAACTGATGTTATATTTCAAAACATTTCAAGAAATACTTGTTTGCTTACTTCAAAGTTTGTTTGTTGTTTGCTTACTTCAAAGTATAATAGTTGAAACAGTAATTCCCTGGTTAATAATAATTATTATATACTTTGTTTCATCAAAAATTGACAGACGAGTAATATAAAATAATATCATGAGAAATGAACAGCAAAAATAGGTAAATAGCCCACTTCATCGGAAAGAGAAACAACCCCTATACCTATATTTTTATTTTCAAAATTAAAATATAAATGTGAAAGAAATATTTTGGCTCTCTATTATTCCGAATTATTGTTTTTGTCAGGTTATTATAGAGGTTAAGTTATTTTTTACTCAAAATGTTAATAGCAAAACAGAAACGAAAAGGGGGGCGAATGCTATTATTTTTTTAATTGGTATATAATTTGAATATATGTAGAATATGTAGATCCACCACATGTATAAATGAGTTCATGATAAGTAAGGAATGCTGACTAAACGTATGTTAAAATGTAATACCTATATTTTAATGATAGTTAGCTCTTGAAGTTCATATAGAACTCAAATTCGCAAGAATAACTTCCTGCGTTAATGTAATGAACCCAATAGTTAAATAAACCACGCTGTTTTGATTCATACAAGAATTATAATTTGTTATATTAAGAGTACTTACTGCAAAAAATTTGTTTCATGTAACCTTGGTCATCACGGAGGCACTAATTTGAAGAGGAGAGACGGCACACCATCAGACTTGATCCAAGCAGTATCCACCATGCAACAAACTCACTCCAAGGCAGCACCCAGTCCCAAAGTCCTAAGAAAGCACTCCACAAAAAAGATATACATCACCTGAACCCGAAAATTTTTCTATGACTACAGCTGGACACCACGCCTAGACCGACTCGAATGCTGAAATTTACGTACCTGGTCCAAACACAATTAGTCCGGTGTATGCTAAAGTTATCGTTACAGTGTCGGGAAAACACAACCAGGAGGTTGTAAAAATAGTTAAACCACTGTAACAATTACCACACTGCGACTAACAATCCCAAAATGGAGTGTTTGGCTTCCCGATTCGGCAAATTTCATCCAGGAATCTAGACTTCGAATCACAGGTTAACATCTTAACCTGTCAGTTTGTAAATAAACAAAGGAGGGAGAAGTAAAGTTAATCTCATGGCGGTTGCCGACTACGCCGGCGAAGGGGGGCATAATAGTCCATGAAATCATGATAGATTTCGATGGAGCTTCTAAGGGCGATTAAGGATATTGTTTTGAATAAGCCCTGATTCTGCAACCCGAGTGTTCTAAGACATCGGGTTGTCTCCCTGGGTAGTGCCCCCCTTGTTCCTACCACTATTGGTAGGACTTCGGCATGGTCCGCATGAAACCTTTGCCGGAATTGAGGTAACAGTCGGCTATATTTTTGTATCTTACTGTTTCGTCCCGAAACGAGGCCATCCCCATCTTCGTGGCGGACTGTTACATCGACCACGAAGACCCTTCCTTGGCGCTGTATCACCAAGTCGGGTTTTAGATTCCCGCCACGGGGGTCGACTATCGTCGGCTCCACCGTTACTGCTACCTCTGTGCCTTGCTTAGTAATTTCTGCAACGATGAGGTCGCGAATCTCATCGTGCCTTCTGATCCGTGACGACTTTGTATATCTGTACTGGCCCAATATGTGGCCCAGTGTCTCCAACTGGGACCCACATTGGCGGCAGTTCGGATCAGGTATTGGTCCGGCTCTACTCATGGCCACCCTATTAGCGCATGAGTTAGTACGCATTCGGAGGGCCGTTATCATGCGACATGGATTTAGCAACGTAGGGTCGCTAAGCCATGTGTTACTAACTTTGGAGCCGGTGAAGGCTGCGACCGACTTTCCCTGCGACTTTTGCCGGGACCATCTGGCAAGCTCTTTCTTACGTTCTTTACGAACGTAATTCTTTATAACTGTTGGATCAACTGGCCAGTTGATCCTCGCCGCCTTCGCCAAATTACGTAGACGGACCTCCAGTCTGGATCCGGCGGCGAGAGCTTGCATTGCTGGGTCGGGATTGTTCCAAAACTTTAACCCAGCTTGTAGGGCTGATGAGGTTAGGAGCCATTCTAACCTCGGTATTCCTAGTCCCCCGTCTTTCCTGCTGACGTATAGCAGACCATTTGTCGTACTATTCGGCAGGTGGAGAATAGCTTTTATCACTACCCGTAGCTCCTGGTCCATCGCTCTGATCTCATTGAGTGATGGAATCGTGACGTTGATTTTGTACAGGTAGTGCGGGACCAGGTAAGTGGTGATTAAGTCTATCTCCTGGTGTGGTTTCAGCTTTAGCTTCTGTACTCTTGCTAAAGCTGAGGCAAGGTCGGCTCTGATACCCTCCGATGTAATTCCGACCCAGGGAGAGAATCTTACACCAAGATAGACAAGGCAGTCACCGGCCCCCATTACCTGCACCCCGTCACCACTGTCGAACTTCAAACCGGGGTCAGTTAAGTGCCAGGAGTCTTTAGTGGTTTTTACACGGAAGGTCTGGCATTTTTGGTGTGAAAGTTTCATACCTAACCCCTCTAGGTATGCTTCCGTGTCACTTAACTGTTTTTGTGCCTGACTTTCGTCTTGCGCTAACAACACAAGGTCATCAGCGAAGGCCAGGCACGTTACTTCTTCAGATTCGTTGATCTGGTACCCCGGCTGACTCTCCAGCTTATGCAGCAGGGGCTCTAAGGCTGCATTAAATAGAAACGGACTTAGGGGGTCACCTTGCTTGACCCCCCGCTGGAGGCGCACTTCGACTTGTGCGTCGTTCAATTCGAGTGAGGTTTGTACACCTGAGTAGGCATCTTTCACAATCCTCACAACTTGTGCAGGAAAACCCTTTCTACGTAACGTGGGATTTAGTACATCATGAGGCACCGTGTCGAATGCCTTAGACACATCCAGGATCGTTACGACCATTCCCTTATGGGCTTTCGAGTGCCGCAGCACTTCGTTTAACAGGTGTACGTTATTGAAGCACCCCGCTTCGTTAACGAACCCCTTTTGGCGGGGTGAGAATTCGACTACTCTCCTCAGCTTCTTGTCGATGATACCGAAGTATCCTCGACTTAGGATCGAGGTAGTTCTCCGCCTTGCTACCGTCCTTGCCTTCTTTTGGTATTAGAGTGGTTCGATTCTTCCTTCAGTTGGATGGTATCCGGCCACATACCATCACGAGGTTGTAAAATCTATGGAGGACTTCATATACGGCTGGCCTTCTTACATCAATTAGCCGGATACCGTCTGGGCTAGCCGCCGTGGAACTGCTTATTTGGGAGAGTCTTTCTTTTATTTCGTTTCGAGTTATCTCGGATAAAACATGAGATAACTCGATCGGAGGGTCATTATCTCCCAAATCTGGGATCTGTACTACAGGCTTTTGACCCCATAGTCTCTCGTACAGATCCTGTACGTCCGCGTTTGGACACCCGATCCCGGGGGCGTCCAACCAGTCCACGTTGTTATGGACGTACCTTGCCACAAGGGACGGATTTTTACTATACAGGTCTTGGGTTTTGGCGTAGAGGTAGCGCCTGCGACTACCCCGGCCTCTACCCGCTCCCCTCTTAGGCTTTGGGATTCTAGGGCGGCCGTCGGTTTGGACGACGCTTAACACCCATGAGTACATCGTATCGATGAACCCTTGGGGCACGTCATAGTCCCAAAACGACGACCGCTCCAAGCCAGCACCCAAGTTCGTAAAAGCCGTTAATTCTGTTTGAGATCGTTGGGCATTCTGGGGTATCTGTTGAGCGAGAACCGACTCAACGATCTCTCTGCGCCACTCCCTGTACTCTAAAGTGGCGCGCTGGATGGATTCCAACTCTCTGACTAGGGCCGCAGCCTCTTCTTGCATAGCCAGGAGTGGATCCGCCAGCCCGCGGGCTGGACTGTCGGGCAGATTCACTGTTTCCTCGATTTCATCGAGGTTTTCTTGGCGCCCTGCGGCTAAAGGAGGGAGATTGTGCTCTATAAGGTATTTGTCCCTCCTTACTTTATATTTAATATCAGCTCTTTTATGCCTCAGTTGCGTATTGGACTTTGTTGGTATGTAGGGCGCCATGTTAAAGGCAATAAGCCTGTCGCCGTAGAACCTCACTTCGCACTCCAGCATAGTGCGAATTTCATCCTCGGTAAAGACCTGGTTATGCCTTGGCCGAGGAGGCTGATAGTATGAGGCACTAGCGATTCTCGCTTCATTTCTGGCGTCAGGATGCCTGTGCCGCATGTGTTGGGAGAGTCCCATGTCTGTCGCGAAGACCGAATTGCAAATGCCACACCGCTGCCCGTCGGCTACAATCGGCTTCGGCCCGGTGCATTTAGGTAGATGGCACCGGCTGGCGTGTCTGTTTTTATATATTTTACGGCATTTCGTACATATAAATTTAATTTCTCTGTCGGGGTGCCAATCCCGACAGTGCCGTTCTTCTTCCGCCAGAGACAATGACAGGAGGTTCCTGCCCTCGAGGAGACATAAGGTGCAGGACCTCTCTGTGTAGTTCTGGGCTACCGGTATTGGGTAGCCCATACTCTCCCATATTTCTTTTAAGAGAGTCTTTTAAGAGAGTCATAGTTACTCCCGCCGTTTACCCGCGCTTGCTTGAATTTCTTCACTTTGACATTCAGAGCACTGGGCAGAAATCACATTGCGTCATCATTCGCTGGGACCATCGCAATGCTTTGTTTTGAATAGCACATTCCCTTGGCAGTGGTTTCGCTAGATAGTGGGTAGATACAGTGTGAATCTCGTTGATCCATTCATGCGCGTCACTAATTAGATGACGAGGCATTTGGCTAATTCTGCTCATCGTCATCTCTACATGAGTACTTTCTTGCGGCACAGCTACTTGGGAGAATACGGCTACGGACCATATTGGAGCATAACCCCTGGACCTTACTTTGCCGTACCCTGTGACTCATCTCACTACCTACCACTCTTGGCCGGGTCCCTTTCAGGGAAACCGTAACTGCCCGGAATGACGGTCGCGGCTGGAAAAATTAGGAAAATGGGTCCTTGTAAGGAACGGTAATTAGCCTGGGGCCCAGAAGGGCCTCCAGTTTCCGGGGAATGCCTCGTGGAGGCTTGCCGCAAGAAGCTAGCCATCGGCCCACTTCTTTCCGCCGCCGTTTTGCCGCAGCAACACGACTCGCATGCCATGTGCCCGAGACATAACAATAAAATAAATAATAAGAAGTATATATAAAACAGATAAAATACGAGCTGTGTACATCTGTCACAAAGAAGACCCGTTGTTCTCGAAGGAGAGCAGCGTATAAAGGAATTATGATTACCTGTGAGTTCGTGTGAGGTGAAGAATATATGTATGAAGTTATGATGAATGAATGAGTCATTAATAATTTCGTCTTGCTCATAAGGGAGTTATGGAAGATGATCCAGTGGGATGAGTAATTGCGTATCAGAATCGAGTTGTTCGTTAGAAATCATGTGATAAATGTCGAAGGATATCCCCATAGATTTTGATATAACAAAACAAGGTGAGAAATTAAAAATAACAATAGTGCTTTTAATGAAGTTGCACTAATTGGATGTTGGAGAATATATTTTGTGATGGTGAATATTCATTCAAAAAGAGAAATATTGGAGGTCACTTTGAAAGTTAAATTATTCCGAAAATAAATTATTGCTAAGCTCAGTGATCGTTTCGTTTAGGTTATTATTAAAGATAAGTTATTTTTTCACTCAAGGTATTTATAGCAAGATAGAAACAAAAAGGGGGTATATAATTTGGATATATGTAGATTATATAGATCCATCACATGTATAAGTGGATTTATAAAAAGTAAGGGATGCTGATTAAACGTATGTTAAAATGTAGTATTTAAATTGTAATGATAGCTGAAGAATATTATGTAAAACTAAATTCGCAAGAATAATTTCTTGCGTTAATGTAATGAAACAAATAATTGAGTAAACTACGTTGTTGTTATATATACAAGAATTATAAGTTGTTATTAGTACTTACTGCAAAAAAATTTATGTTTCATGTAACCTTGGTCATCACGGAGGCACTAATATGAAGAGGAGAGACGGCACACTATCAGAGTTGATCCAAGTAGTAACCACCATGCAAAAAAATCATTCCCAAGGTCTTAAGAAAGCACTCCACAAAAAAGCTACACTTCCCTTACCTGAAAATGTATCCATTGCTACAACTGGACACCAGACCTAAGCCATAGACCGACTCGGATGCTGAGATGTACGACAATTAGTTCGGACAAGGTAAAGTTACCGTCACAATGACTGCAAACTATCACCAGAACGTTGGAAAACTAGTCAAATCGAAGTAACAATTACCACACTCCGACGAACAATCCCAAAATAGAGTCTGGCCCCGATTCAGCAAATTTCATCTAGGAATTTGGGCTTCGAATTACGAGTTGTAAACAACGTAAGCTGTCAGCCATAACCAGCCAATTTGTAAATAATCAAATTAGGCGAGAAGTGAAGTTACCGTTCCAGTCATCATTTCAACCAACGTTGCACTAGGCGAACAACCCGTTGTCATAAATCCGGAATGTAGATGTAGTTCGCCACTTCAACCACCGTCGCATCAGATGAACTAAGCCGAGCAAGCAATCAGCATCGACTGTCGAACAATAATTCATTGGTCCAAGGTCAACCAGGCAGTCCACCCATACAACACTGGATGGGGTGCCGTAGTATCATTTTCGTTTGCTATGTTGATGACACTGCAGCTCACGGAATATTCAACCAAGAGGGCGTTACGACCTTAGTGAAATGTAGCTGTGGCAGACTTCCCAGACAGAACTGAAGTGAACAGTGCCGAACTCAGTTTTTGGTGCCACGTGAGAACTCCATGACCGAAACTTTCAATTTCATGAATTATTTTGTTCTGTTTTGAATGATCAGCTTTTTTCAAATCTCAAATGATTGTGCCTTATTTATGAAGCTGGAGGCCAGCTTTTCTAAGTGGGGGAGATGTGTCAAGTATGAAAAAATATTTTTTGAATTTAATATAATTTCTCATTTTCAAATGAATAATTCAGTCATTCTATTCCATTCATTCATCGCATATCACATTTACAATGTTACAAACATTGAATTTCTGATTTCAATGTTTGTAACAAAATCAGGTTTTCTTTCCCGATTATTGCGATAAATTTAAATCGTCGTTGATAATCGTGGAATCAGCAATCGTCAGCGTAATTATTCCTGATGAAAGAATATTTTTTCTTATAAATTGGAGTTGGAGTACTGCTTTTCCAATTAATGCTTTTGGTTACCAGTTTTTGTTGAAGTTACTCACTCCAGAAATGACTTGACACACTCGTCCTAAAAATGCAAGTAATGATTTCGATTTATATATTTTATTATGAACCAGTTAGTCCAAAAGTGTTTTTAAAGATTAGTATTTAATTTAGAAGCATTTTAATCACTTGTTTGTATTTTTTACTGATTTTGTTGTGCTTTGTTTAAATGTTCCATTCACTTCAATATGTAATAAACCAGTCGAAATTCACTTCACTTATTCAATCCCGAATACCAAGGTAATGTTATAACACAAAATAAAACTAATCCTACCGCTGCCAAGCTAAATAGTACATTTTGGTTTTCAAAAAACACTTCATTGTGAGATTTTTTCACTAAACAGTTTTACAAAAACGCAACATGTGTTTCGCTTTTCAATAGCTTATTCAGAGAGTAAAGACACGCTTGAAGAAGCTGTTGTATAGAGAAATACGTGTTGCGGTTTTGTAAAACTGTTTAGTGAAAAAAATCTCACAATGAAGTGTTTTTTAAAAACATTTTGGTTTTTAGTTGTCTCGTATTGATTCCACTCTGAAATTTCGTTTAACTGGAGAAGTTTAGTGTTTCTTGAAAGTATTTTTGTTAAAACTTTCGAATCTTCTAAGTATATTAAAAAAAACTTCTTGAGGAGAAATCACATCTTGAATAAAATATAGAGTGAATATTACTGGAGTTTTTTCCCAACACCAAACCGTTATTTCAACACCTCGACACGTGTTTCGATCACCAAGTGATCATCTTCAAGAGGAAGATCAAACTATGCATACTTACAAAGTTATCCTTATTTATACCATAGATACCTGTTTTACGTACCTGCCTCTTGAGTGTCTTGATTTAATTTTACAATTTTCCTTATCTACTTGTCTCAAATTAATTTATACATAACGACACATTGTGAAATTCATCCATAAGGTCACTTTGTAAAATTTATTTAAGATAAGTAAATAAGGCAAATTGTGAAAATTGATTTAAGACACTCAATACCTAGAACAGGTATCTGTGGTATAAATGAGGATAGCTTTGTAAGTATGCTCAGTTTGATCTTCCTTTGAAGATGATCACTTGGTGATCGAAACACGTGTCGAGGTGTTAAAAGAACGGTTTGGTGTTGGGAAAAAACTCCAGTATGTTGCGATTGAAGAACGCAAATCAAAAATAACGTACCAGGGTTTAGTTCATTTATTGTAAACTGTTCCAAATATAATCACGATTAGAGGATATCAGTTTCAAACTAAAAGATTTTGGATGAAATGGAATTGAACAATTCAGAGCGTTGAAACATGCAAGGATACATTTTGTGAAATTACCGAAAAGGCACACTTGAACATTGAAAGAATAACTGATATGAAATATAAATTCGAATGTAAAAGATATATGACAAATGGGGTCAGTTTTTAGTATAAGTAAGCAACGATAAGACGATGGATAATATCGCGACTTTTTTTTTGGTAAATTCAATTGAAGAAGCTGCCGAGGTCCGAAGCAAACTATGATGATGCCTGAAGCTTATGATTGCTGAAATATCGTCCATTGTTACAGACGTTCGAGTCGATTCACAAAGATCGACGGATAATGTTTTCAAACATGTTAGGTCATTGAATATTCTACGTGAGTCGATTGAGTCTTGAGCAGAAAAGTACTAATTTATTTGATATTTGAAACATTTTAACGATAGATGTCATATCTTGAAAATATTAGATAAAAATGTGGAGTGCTTGAATAATATGTAAGTAAGGAAATAAAAATTGCAAAATCAATTGAACAGACAAAGGTTTTACTGTTATTGCGATAGAAAAAAAAAAGTTAGTAAAACTGTAGATTTCCATCTCAAAATTATTTTCAATTTATTGAAAATTTCAATTCAAGCAACGAATGGTTTATTATGAAAAAGTCTTGTTTTTTGCTAGCTGAAATTTTTATGGATAACCTTGAAATTAACTTTCTTATATCATTTGTACTGGTACAGATACGTAGGAGACATCTCAGTCCGCAGGCATTTGGGCAAGTTTGTCAAATTTCTCAATTCCATCCACACATCAAATAGTCACCACTAAAATGGAGGTATAAATCAATACCTAATAATGAAAATGATTTTGCAATTTTCCATAAACCATCTTATACGGACAATGTCGTAGGTACATAATTCTTCGACACATCCCTACCAGCATAAAGTAGGAGCATTCATGAGAATGCTTCACAAACTATTGAATATTCCACTGTTGGAAAGTTATTTTCAG